CTGTACTGCCCCGTCTACAAAACCCCCGCAACCCCCTTCCACAAATCCCCTGCTTATCCCCCCTTATAAGGACTCCTGTCCCAATACAAAACCCCCGCCCCCTTCTACAAAATCCCTGCAGCCCCACACACACATTAACAGGCAGACAGTCACACACTCAGTTACAAACAGACAGTCACACATACACATTTCCTCCGTGCGGCCAGTTTATCAGCTGTTTGCTTGTGTGAGCTGTACTGGCCGCACGGCACCCTAACTACCATGGGACACTGTGCGGCCACAGCTCACACAGCCCCCTCCAGCCAGGGCCGGTGCAAGGATTTTTGCAGCCCTAGGCAAAAGTAAAGTTTGCCGCCCCCCCCCATGTGACATCACAATGCCCCACCCATATGATTTGCCATGTTAACTAACGCCAGTGCTGCAGTGCCGCCGTGTTTACATTAAAAGGCCTGCAAGGACAGGCTATAGACACCAGAACCACTACATTAAGCTGAAGTGGTTCTGGGGACTATAGTGTTTCTTTAATGTGAGGTAAATTAGAGCTTAGTGCCACAAATAATATACTAGATTGCCTACTTACAACCAGATGAGGATGATGATGGGCTCTAGCTGCAATCTGGCTCCACTGGTCTGGTGCAGAACAGGCTCTCTGGAGGCGGTTTGTAACTGTGGTCACAAAAATCAATGTTCTGGGAGAACGGGAAGCAGCTCCATTTTTTGGGGTCCTTTACACAGCTCAAGGTCTGGGTCCCAGGGTCCACCTTCATGTTCCACCAATGAGTTTGTTCACAGGGGGTGGAGTGTGTAGGGGATGTCCTGATATGTGTGTAAGGAATGCATTGTGTGAAATTGTGTTTGTATGTGTAAGGGCTGCAAGATGTGTTTCTGTGTATGTACGGGATGCATTGAATGTGTGTAAGGGGTGCATTGAGTGTGTGTAATGAATGCATTGTGTGTTTCTGTGTGTGTAAAGGATGCATTGTGTGTAACGGTTGCATTGCTTGTGTATGTGTGTCTGTGTGTGTAATGCATTGTGTGTTTTTCTGTGTGCAAGGGGTGCATTGTGTGTATGTGATGAATGTCAATCTCTCCTCCTCCCATTTTCTCTTTCTCCCCCCCTCCCATTTTCTCTTTCTCTTTCCCCCCCTCCTCCCATTTTCTCTTTCTCCCCCCCTCCTCCCATTTTCTCTTTCTCCCCCCCTCCCATTTTCTCTTTCTCTCCCCTCCCATTTTCTCTTTCTTTCCTCCCTCCCTCCTCCATTTTTCTCTTTCTCCCCACCTCCCCATTTTCTCTTTCTCTCCCCCCCCCTCCTCATTTTCTCTTTCTCTCCCCCCCCTCTCCATCTTTCTCTTTCTTTCTCTCCCTCCTTCCCATTTCTCTTTCTCTCCCCCCTCCTCCCATTTTTCTCTTTCTCTCCCCCCTCCTCCCATTTTATCTTTCTCCCCCCTCCTCCCCCATTTTCTTTCTCTCCCATTTTCTCTTTTCTCTTTCTCCCCCTCCCTCCCTTGTCCTCTTTGTCCCCCTCCCTCCCCACTCTTTGTCCCCCTCCTCCCTCCCTCGTCACTCTTTGTCCCCCTCCCTCCCTTGTCACTCTTTGTCCCCCTCCCTCCTCGTCTCTTTGTCCCCCTCCCTCCCTTGTCACTCTTTGTCCCCCTCCCTCCCTCCCTCCCTTGTCACTCTTCCCCCTCCCCCTACCTCAGTTGTAGTGTGGCCGAGACCAGTATGGTCCGCGGGTACAGGGAGCTTTTGTTTCCTGTACCCGGCCGGACTAACAGGAAGTGCACACTCTGTGTGCACTTCCAGTTAATCCGGCCGGGTACAGGAGACAGATGTTCCCTGTACCCGCCGACTATACTGGGCTCGGCCACGCAACAACAGAGGGAGTGACAGGAGGGAGCGCTTCCCTCCTGTCAGCTCCTCTCCTCAGGTTGCGCCCGGGCGGTGCGGTCCGCCCTCATGGACTCACCACCCGGGCAAAGCTACAGCTGCCTGAGGCTCTCTACAGAGCGCTCGGGCAGCTGCAGCAGGGGGGGGGGGGCGACGCGGCTGGTCATGGCACCCCCGACCCTGGTGGCACCCGGGGCGGACCGCCACCTCCGCCCCCCCCCTTAGTACGCCACTGCCCAGGTGTCTTTCCCACCCCCATACATTTATGACACACACACATTTGTGTGTGTGTAGCATCATACACACACACTGACAGACACACACACATGCACTGACTGACAGACATTCACACTGACAGACAGACACTCACACTGACACACACACACACACTGTCAGGCAGACACACATACACACTCTCAGACATATTCACACACTCTTGCACACTCTCACAATTAATTTTTTTGAGGCCCACCCAGCCTTTTGGAGAGCTGGTGTGGGTCCTCTTCCAGGGGTCCAGTTTGGGGCTGTGCTGTAATCTTTCATTTCCTCTCTCCTCTTGCGTGTTATTTAGTATGTCGGGGCTGGAATGACATCATATGCCAGGGAAGAGAAAGGGAAATTACAGATCAGCCTCCCTCCCCACCACCTAATGCTGCCTGCCTTCTTTCCTCCCACCCCCTTGCAGTATATATCTTCAGGTAAACAGGTGCCTAGTCTGCCTCACTACCTCCTGGGCCCCTTGCTCATCTCGGCACCCTCACCTTCGGCGTCTCAAGGTCGCAGGGGTCAGCTGGGCAGCCAGGCCCCCTGGAGTGATGGGCAGCTACGACCATGGTAGTTCCGCCACTGATCCCACCCTGTTACACCCACATTACCATGTCACATAACCTTTCCAGATATATTCCCGACCCTGTCAAATTTCATCCTCTCGTTCTGACTCATACCCACTTAATGTTGTCTTCTAATCCCCTCACCCTGTCACATAACATCATCCGTCCTGTTACATAACACCAACTCACTTTGTCACATACCCATCCAATGTTATTATCTAACCCCCCCTCACCCTGTAACATCTACCTGTTGCATAAAATTCCCTGACCCTGCCACATAACTTCTACCTTATCCTGTGACAAAACCCCTTCACACAAACACCAGGGCTGGCGTTGTTTTAGATGACACACGCGGTCACTTTAGCGACACAGCCCATCCTCCTATCAAAAGTGCAATATCATTTTTTTATATACTGTTGAATCAACAAATGAATCCCTGCTGGTCCAGTTAGGGACCTCTGACTGATGTAGACCATTATAATCCCTCCCTTGCGGATACAGGGCATTCAACGGCCCTGTAGTATAACATGATTTTATTATGGGGAGCTCTGTGATACACTCATACACACTGCATATTATGGTGAGTTTATTTGTGGAGGAGCTCTGTGAAACACTCATATATCATGGAAAAAAGTAATGCGTACCCAGGTAAGAAAGTAATAAATTACATTTGGCATTATGTGAAGTTTTTGTATGTGCATATATATATAAATGTTATGCATTCGGCCTTAAAATACCTATTCCAGGGGGAAATTTGGCCTTCTATGATAAATATACAAGATAACATGTACTGTTGAATGGTATTCCAGAGAAGATAAAATTCTACATCATTCTTATTTTTTGAATTGGAGCCGGACATTTTTTGTAAATAAAGTCCCCATGCACAGATAAAAATCTTGAACACACCCAGGACATACTTGAAAACGAGAGAAATCTTAATGTATACTTCCTGGTAAAATATTTTACAAATAAATAAAAATGTACATCATAAATGTACTCCCTACACCACAACCTATTATATATACATTTTAGAAAACAGAAGGAGAAAAAAATAGAAAATAATTGGATTTATTTTTCATAATAATAAATGTATACAGAAACGCCCCTCACTTTCTTTATATAAGTGATGTTCATCTAGAAATATTCTATGTACTGAAAGATAAGGTAGTGAAGTAAGAATGGACTGAAGGGTGATAGTGGGGGTAAATTATTCATTGAAACACGCAATTAGCATCATACTAATCATCAAATACTCCCACAGTTGTGCAACAAAAGAAATGTTGCCATTCTTATTGCTGCAACGTCTTACATGGTTTTGGTGATGTCCAGGTCACAAGGAATTCTATTTGTTGAGACATTCATAGACATTGGTAAAGTAAATCAAAGGCGCACAGCTATAATCTACACATAAAGCTGGTGACTCTGATTCAATCAAATTCATATAATACCACAATGCCAATATTTATTCAGCTTTTCTTCACAGTTTCTCCAAATGTTACATGTATTTACTGTTAAGCAAAGGATGTATACTGTTATCTATATAAAATATTAAACCATCTTTAATGTTATAGTTTCCTTTATTATTCTTGTTAGATGTGTAATACGATAGGGTACTTCTTGTCTGTTGCCACAGCAACTAACGTGCTAAAACCACTGATTGCCTACCTGCCAATGTAGTTATTAGCATCTTGTGCAAGTCAAACAGAGCACCTTGTCAAATTTACAATTATTATTTTCAGTATCACCACTTCATTTATTTTTATTAATAAATAAATAAATAATATAAAAAAAAGATATGCTCTTCGAGCATCAAGCCTGTATATCTTTTCTTCTACCTATTTTATTGCTTGATAATTATACTGGTATGGGCTCTGGAGAATTTAAATCTACACAGTATACAAGTTGGAGAAGTACAATCTTAAAGATGATTCATGCTGTTTAGTTATTGTTGCAGTGAATAGTTGGTATAGTGACCAATGAAGATGTTCAATTATAAGTCAAAACACATATCATTATGTAGGAATAATTAATTGCATCACTTGCAGTCCCACATAAATATAGATCCTTTATTCTAGAGATTGACAAGGGTTTTATTGACTCTATTTTTGGTGCCATAATAGAGACTCATTGCGGAGACTTTTCATGTATAACAGATAATATGACAACATATTATTGATAGTGATGTCCCGAACGGTTCGCCGAACGGTTCGCGAACGGTCCGCCGCGAACGGTTCGCCACGGACTCATCATTGAGTAAACTTTGACCCTGTACCTCACAGTCAGCAGACACATTCCAGCCAATCAGCAGCAGATCCTCCCTCCCAGACCCTCCCACCTCCTGGACAGCATCCATTTTGAAGCGGCATTCTTAGTGAGCTGTCCAGGAGGTGGGAGGGTCTCGGAGGGAGTGTCTGCTGTTGATTGGCTTGAATGTGTCTGCTGACTGTGAGGTACAGGGTCAAAGTTTACTCAATGATGAGTCCGTGGCGAACAGTTCGTGGAGGACCATTCGCGAACCGTTCGGCGAACCGTTCGGGACATCACTATTTATTGATCATTTATCACCGCATACATCAATATGTAGACATTGGTCTTTGTATATAATTGCATATCTAATCATCTCTGCCTATTTAATATAATTTAATATAGGAGGCACTGGTACTCATATTTTTCAATATCTATAACACCATAATACATTTTCTGGCCTTAACTATGTTTTGCACTCAGAATACTCATTCATTCCTCAGTGGCCTAGGGCTGTGTGGAGACACTGTATCAATATATTTAGTTTATACACATTTCATTGATATTTCATTAAAAAGAAGAATCAAGTCTCTTTAATCACATCAAACATAAGAAGGCTAGGAGAGAGTTCTTTCATTTCCTTTCCTTTTTTATTATCTTTCATTTTCTTTCCTATTCTCCACCCTTTCCTCTTTTCTCTCTTCTTCCCTTTCTTATTTATTTTAATTTCCCTTTGTCTTCCCTTTCCATTTCATGTCTTCTTTCCTTTCCTTTCCTTTCCTTTCTTCTTCCCTTTCCTTTCCTGCCTTTCCTCCTTTTCTCCTTTCATTTCTTCTTGATTTTCCTATCATTTCCCCCCTTTACTATTTCATTTCCTGCTTTTCCTCTTTCCTTTCCTTTCCTTTCCATTCCTTTCCTTTCCTTTCTTATTCTCTTTCTTGTCCTATCCTTTCTCCTACCATTACCTATCCTCTCTCCCTCGCTTTCTCTTGCAATTTGGGCACACATGGAAGCAATTGTATTTTTATGTTGTGTGTAGTGCTTATCTTTATTGACTTTATTGTTCTATGAATAGACACCAGGTGCATGGCACTTGTTATGCAGTTCTCATTTTTGTTTTCTTTCACCAGAGTTATCTGGGTCACTGTGCTTCTAGTGGATGCATTATCATTATTATTTGCTTTAAATAAAGTGCCAACAAATTTTTCATTGCTGTATAATAGAACAATGTCACAGGCGGGTTAACATACAGGAAATGTCATCTGAAATATGACATACCAAATGTATAGAGGCATACTGGTACACAAGGTATTGCTCTCTCAAGGTTACATTCTAGGAGAAGGCAGGGAAGGATAAAGACAGATGGTGTTCATATTTCATGCAAGAAGGACATCAAATTATAAGGGAAGATTCAATGGGTAAATGGGACGGGTTAAGTGAAAGTCTTATTTATGTATTTATAAAATCTTTTATCTGGAAGGATACTTGAAATCTCTATTCTTTTCAAGTATGTCCTGAAGAGCACCTATATATATATATCTATATTGTTACACATATATAAAGGTAAGCAGGCTTTATTTTTTTTTTTATTTATGCAACCTGAGTTTAGGGAATCTATATACTTTATATCAAGCATTACAAACTTGTGGGCCTTGGCCGCATGCGGCACACAATTAACATCTTTGCGGCCCAGCAAGCCACAAGTTTGAAATGCTTACTGTTAGGCTGTGTAGGCACCTGCTCTCCCTACATTGCAGGTGCCTACGCTGCTAAAATTTACCCGACCGGGGGAGAGGACGCTGGCGGCAGCAAGGGAGCTCAGTCTGTTCTTTTTGCTCCTCACTGCTCACTCGGGCGTGCTCTGTGTAGTGATGCCGGGTGCCGGAATATGACATTATTCTGGCCTGGCATCACTAGACTGCATGCGTGAGGGAGCAGTGAGGAGCAGGAAGGAAGACGTCCAGAGAGGAGATCCCCACTGGACCCCAGAGAGAGGCCCCACACCAGCTCCCAAAGGTAGGGAGCAATGAATAAAATGGTTTGTGAGTGTGTGCAAGAATGTGTAAATGTGTGTGTCTGTCAGTGTGTGTGTGTCTGTCAGTGAGTGTGTGTATGTGTGTCTGTCTGTCAGTGTGTGTGTGTCTGTATATGAGTGTGTATGTCTGTCTGTCAGTGTGTGTGTCTCTGTCAGTCTGTCAGTGAGTGTGTGTGTCTGTCAGTGTGTGTCTGTCTGTCGGTGAGTGTGTGTGTGTGTCTATCAGTGAGTGTGTGTCTGTTTGTTGCCTAATATTTATTTATTTTTTAAACAGGGGCTGGGGTTTAGTGGCTGGGGCGACTGGGATATAGTATAGAGGGGGGGGACTTGGATTTATTATAGAGGGGGGGACTGGGATTTAGTAGAGGGGGGGCTGAGGTTTAGTAGAGGTGGGCTGTGGTTTAGTAGAGGAGGGTGCTAGGGTTTAGAAGTGGAGAAAATAAACCTGCATTTCTAGAAAAAAAACTTTTTTTTATTTGGCCCATGCTAGCCTTTGAATTTGACATGCTTGCTCTATATAAAAGTTTTGGGACACACCTCTTAATTATGGAATTATGTTGTTTCAATCAGGCTCATTGCCACATATGTATAAAATCAAGAACCTAGCCACTCAGTCTGCATATATGAACATTTGTGAAAATAAAGGGTTGCTATGAAGAGCTCAATGAATGTTGGATGCCACCTTTGCAATAAGTCAGTTTGTGGAATTTCATCCCTGGGTTTGGCAGATGCCAGGAGAACATTACTTGCCTGACTGTATTGTGTCAGCTGAAAAGTTTGGTGGAGGATGGATAATGGTATGAGGCTGTGTTTCATGGTTTGGGCTAGGCCTATTACCCCAGTTAAGGGAAATCTTAATGTTTTAGTATATCAAGACATTTTGGACAATGCTTCCAGCTTTGTAGGAACCTTTTAGAGAAGGCTCTTTTCTATTCCAGCATGACTGTGCCCCAGTGCACAAAGCAAGGTCCATAAAACCATGGTTGGATGAGTTTGGTGTGGAATAACTTGACTGGCCTGCACACAACCCTGACCTCAACACCCTCGACCACCTTTGGGATGAACTGGAATGGAAATTATGAGACAGGCATTCTCATCCAACATCATTGCCTGATCTCACAAATGGTCTACTGGATGAATGAGCAAAAATTCCCACAGAAACACTCCAAAATATTGAAAGGCTTCCAAGAAGAGTGGAAGCGGTTCTAGATGCAAATACTTTTGTCCATATAGTGTAGTAGATTATTAGTTTTCAAGTGAAAAATTACTCTGAATGTCTTTCAGTTTTGGCATATTGGGGAAATCTATCAATAAAATGATCACACAAATCTCATACCACTTGATTTATATAGAAAATATAGTTTTAGAATTATCACAAATATCACATATATTAATGGATTGTAATCGAGCTGATGGATTTGCCCTTAGAAACAAACCTTCCTTTTCTGTTGTGAAGTGTTAATTATGCTGGTTATTAACACGTTTCCAGCTGCCTTAATAAAGATTAGAATCTGTGTGTGGATATAAATCTTAATTAATGAGAAATTATTCAGAAGAGTAATTAACAATACAGCACATAAAGAGGGTAAGTGTTAGGATAAGAAAGTCCCCAAAAGCTCACACTCTGCATCTGAATAAAGGATGAATACTTATAATCAAAACCTGTAGAAATAACAGCAGGACAAAATTCAATTTTGTCTCATAGCTTTGCTGCATGAAGCCAAGCCATGTGATTTTTCCTGTTGTTTCAGTAAAGAACACGCACACTGTAATGACACCTCTGATGTGATGATTATTGTCTAGTGCTTAGACTACCTGGGTGGAATCCAGCAAAGAATAGTCACGGCTATTCATTGATAGACAAGAGACATGAGTAAAATTGATAGACAGGCAGACAGATATATATAGATGCATAGATAGACAAACAGACAGACAGGCAGATAGATAGATAGATAGATAGAGACACAGACAGGCAGACGGGTGGACAGACAGAACGATAGATAGAAAATTGATATAGATAGATAGGTAGTGAGACAGATAGACAGACAGACAGGCAGATGGGTGAACAGGCAGACAGGTGGACGGGTGGACAGATAGACAGAAAAAAAATACACGTTTGAAATAAAAAAAACAACAAATGTCACAAGATATGCACATATTGGGGTAAAACTGCCCAAATTTAAGTCGTTTCTAAGCTACTTTTATTTTTTTGTATCTCATTATGCAAGTCTATGGCATTCTAGATGCGTATTGAGGTTGCTTTCCCCTCTCTCCCTTTTCACTGTTAAATATTTTTTGTAAATCACAACTATGAGCTACCGTCGGGGCTTGCCACACTTACTCCTGTTCATACAAGATGTGTAGTATGTTTCACGCAGATCTTAATTTACCTGTATCAACTCTCTCATAGGTTCCTTTGAGGAAGCCTATTCTCTATCCCCACAGATTAACAGCCTCAAATAGTTTAATAATGAACATAAACATGAACCTCTTCATCAATCAATGTTTTATTTAACTTCCATCCACTTGTTGTTCATAGCAGGCAGGGCCGGATTAAGAGCATAGTGGGCCTGGTGCTGACAATTATGATGGGCCTAATTACGGAATCTTATCGACCAAAAACACTAAAACAATCATACCTCCCAAGCGTCATGTATCTGATGGAGATGGTGCTGGAAGGAAACTCATAGGATGCAGCAATAAGAAAACACATACTCTATGCTAATTTCTCTCTAATTTATGCTTTCATCTTTCAAGTAAATCCATACCCCTAACAGCAGTGTCCAGTGAAGCAGGAAGTCAATTGGCGGGGTAAAAGGGTGTGCCACTGGCGCGAATCACGTGACAAGACCTGCCAAAAGGAGTGAACATGCCCAAAAAGGGGGCATGTTTGTTTTATGAATTGGAAGGTCAGCCTGGCATGAATGCATGTCAGGCTGCCTGCCAATCCTGCAGGCTGTCCAACTAAGGGCATACAATGCAGGCAGCACCTTGAGCTTGACATAAATGCGTCTAATGATGCGCTCACTCCATTCTTTCTAAGGACTGTCCCCTAGCACTCGCTGGTCCACTTGTCTCCTTACCTTCTTACTAGCAGGCAGAAGTTCCTGGTATAGTCTGAGACAGAGAAAAGGTGTATGTAGTGAGTGTAGAAGAAAG